AAAGCTCATGTAAGCTACAGTGGTGTCTTAACTGTGACTGGGAGGAGTATTAATCTACATACAGACATTGATTCCTTTGTTTTAAAGGAACACCCCTTAATTGTCTGCTTTAAACATTTAATGAAATGATCCATTTTCTCCCTTACTTCCTGCTTTATCTTCAAATGCCTGGTAGAACATGGTGAGTTTCAGTGAGGACCAGGCACTCCACAGTTTTCTCCCTGCACTAATTGTAGTTGATGGAAATGTTGGTATCATCACCAGAATGCCTCAAGTTAACCATGTAACATAACAAGTACTGAAGTCAGCTTTAAACCTCAGGATAAAACCCACAAAGTAAGGAAAAGAGTAAGGACTAGGGCAGGATGAGGTCTACTACCACAAAGTCATACAGGGCCCTCAAGAACAACACCAACTGGAAGTTATCCTGCTCTAATTCAGAGAGCATGGTGCAGAAGAGTTGATGTTGTTTGTCAATTTATGATACATTCTTTCATACATCTCAAAATAGATATATATATTTGGACAATCTTTTTGATAGGAAACTTATATTCCTTCAAATCAGCATATTTTCACAATCTAGCAATATTCTGTCCTGTAACATACACACAATTATTTTTTGGGGAAAAAAAAAAAAAGAAAGAAAAGGAGCTGGAGTTCCTTATGGACTTCGCTTTCACACTTTAAATGGGTAAAATTTACACAAAGGTGTAAATTTTACCGATTTATTTAAAAAAAAATTATAATAAACTATAGAATAATTAGGTATAAAAACAGATTACTGAACAGTTCTGTCCAATTCCATTTTTAAGCATCTGCAGAGAATACAAAGAAGTGTTGGTTAAAAAAAAAAATCCAAATAATATATTTTGAAGTACTTCGATTGTAATAAACACATGCTGGGCATTTGGTTAAGAACTTTTAAACACTGATGATAAATTACAACTTATAATTTCTAATTCTAATATCTTGCAACCGAGCTCAGGAATCTTCTGCCACAAGTTTTGCATTGCTTTATAGGGAGGATAATAGAATTGTTGAGAAAATATGTTATTTTCAATTCTAACTGTATTTCTTCTTTTTTGTTCACTACATACTATTTAATATTTTCCTTTGTACACTTCTTGATAGTAGAGCTTTAAGTGAAACTCTGAAAAACAACACTAGGATTCAAAATACAGTGGAAGATTTTATTTTCAGGGTCACAAGTAGCATAGCGAGATTTCTCTCTTAAACAATGACACTTAGTATCTCTGTAGTTCTATGAATACTTTTGAAGTGTCATATTAAAACCAATCTCTTGGCCTTCAGGCAAAGAGAAGCAATTAGTCTTGGAGTTGTGAATAAATAAAAATCCATTTATATACCCGTCCTTGACACGTACCTTGCAAATCTTAGAAACTTCATCTAGTGGGAAAAGAAATGTTAAATCATGAACACCAACACTAATCATACTGCAATGTTGCTTCCTAAAACTGTTTAGTTTATATCAATCTTTTAAGTATTGATTCATATGTATATATTCTTACATATTGAAACAAAACAACAGAAAGGCACTCGCACACTTGGGCGAGAAGAAAGAAATGAGAGCGTGCATATAGAGTTGTAACGCGTACCTTTATTACCTTCAACATTAATAGAGGCAAGAAAAAACACAAAGCTCCCAGTCCATTGTCCTTTTCTCAGACACAGTAAAAACAATCCCGCACAAGTTACGTACCGTGCGCAGGTTTTTTCATCCCGAGTGCTACTGTGTCTGCTTTGATCTACAAGCAAACAAACAAACAAACCGAATCTTTATTAACCATGCATCCCATTTCCGTGCAGCACAATTAAACAGTGCCTGTCACAGATGTGTTGGGATGAGTCAGATCACCATTTCTACTTTTCATACAAGTGCAGTATTTTTAGGTCTTCTCTTTCCTCTTCAGCGTGCCTCAGCGCAGAAGTATCCTATTTTTATGCAGCTCTGATTGCTGTTCGAGAGTCTCATATTTATTTTTCACTTAGCAGCCAGTAATTCACAAAGGAAGTAAAAATTATGATGCCAAGTCATCCCAAAGAGTCCGCCCGCACCCCTACAAACAGGCTGGTGAAACTCGGGCTGCGCGGCAGGTCACCGTCCCAGTGGAGCTTGTCCCCTCCGCATCCACTTGTTGACCAGAGTGCTGAGGAAATGAGAGCGCTTAGGCTACGGCCATCAGGTGAGGCAGCCGGCTGGGGACACGCTGGTGCTCGGAGGTTACTTCAGAATAAAATCGGCCCCTCTGTGCCGTGCTCACAGAGGGTCCCAGCCTGGAGGGCAGGGGTGGGACAGTGACCCCCACAAAGGATCACACCTGGGCTGATGGGATGGTCAAGGAAAACAAATTTTAGTCTGTTCTGGATGCAAATCTCTCTGCTGACCTAGTTCTCATTCTCCTTTTCATTTCAGAAGCTCAGCTAAAAATCCATAAATTAAGGAAATTAACTGATGGAGCCTCCGGCATCTTTGTAAGCTATTTAAATCTTTAAATTTACAACATCTTCTGCATATATCAAGTAATTGAACTAACTGCAGGGATGTAACTTTAATGAGAAAATTTCCCTCTTCTCCTGTAGTTTGTACTCTAGAAGGGGGGAAAAAAAAAAAAAAAAAAAAAAAATAGCTCCCCTTAGGAGAAAAGTTTCTGTTTATTCCTGCCGCGGAAGAAAACTTTAAACCCCCCAGTTTCAGGGTGTCCTGCCCGCATCGCGCCCCGGCCGCTTTCGGGCCGGCCCAGGCCCCGCGGCGCGGGGGCAGCGCGGGCGCGGGCGGC